GGAGGTGTATGCCTTCCATTTTGAAATGTCTGTAGTTTACAAATGTGTTTAATTGTCACAAATTGATGACGGGTTGGTAATCTTCCCGTCTTCTTTTGGACTACGAATATGTTACTGACAAAGCCTGTATCGTCCGAAGCGAATTCGACTGCTCCTTTGTCGAATAGCGCTCGGATCTCGTCGTCCATGAGTTTTGCGCGCGCCATCGACACCCGTATCGGGGATGGGTGGCGGGTTTGCACTGGCGTGTCCGCAAAGTTGATCTCGTAACCTATAATCGTTTGGAGGATCCAGGTATCTGAGGATATCTTTTCCCAGTTTTGTAAAAAAAAGAGACAGTCTGCCTGCTGTTATATGTGACTGGAAATGCATTACATGTGGAATGCTCACCTACACTGAAGCTCCCCCAGCCGCGGGTGTGAGCTCCTCTGGGACAGAAGGATCCCCTAGAGAAGGGTGTTCTTGAGGATGGGAAGAAGGCTTGTGTTGTCTGATTCCTGGGGCCTGTGGGCCAGAAGCGGCTGGTGGCTCGGCCCCTTTGGCGATCAGCCCTGCCGAAAACCCATCTGTGTGGTGTGGGTTTGTGGAAAACTTGTTTAATGGATGTTTGTGCTTTACTTAAAGTAGTGAACAAGTTCACATGCTTCTTTAATTCGCCAATGAATGAATCTCCAAAGAGTTGGCCATTCGCCAGAGGTCCCATTTCCTTCTTGCCCAGATCTAGGAGTTTGGAGTCCATCTTTAGTAACGCAGCCTTGCGTCTCTCTGCGCACATGGCGACATTTGTGTTGCCCAACATGCAGATAGCTCGTTGTGCCCATTCTCAGATGTCGTGGGCATCTAGGGCAGTGCCTCTTGTGAGGGCCAGATCCGCGACGTATAGGATCTTGGCTAATGGACCGAGCAAGTCCAGTAATTTATCTTGGGAGGCCTTCAGGCCCTTCTCAATGCCTTTACGTGGGTCACGGCCTGCTCGTGACATGAATAAAACCACAGTGGTATCGAATTCCGGGGTGTGTGCAATTTTGTCTGGTAGTATGGGCCCCTGGGCCGTCCCGCGGCATGTCCTGCCAGTCATCTTCCTCCTGATGGAGAGTCCCCTGAGGTTATGGACAAATCTTCGGAGGATGTTATCTGAGGGGTTGATGGGTCCCGGTGTTCTTCCTGGTGGCTCTTCTTTAATGGGGCTTTGCCCTTTGATTTTTGGGGGCCTGAGCCAGTGCCCTTCCAGTGTCGTTTGGACGTGGAGATCTTCCCTGTAGACCTATCTGTCTGTGTCCCCTTTCGGGTTTTGGACCAGTAACTTGGCGATAGCCTTTTCCATTGAGGCTGCCACAGATGTGTTAATCATCGTCTGGAAGTCGGGTGGGGGTGGTTGCGCTGATTCGCTCATATTGTGGCAGTTAGGTCTCTCTGTCTGTGGAAGACAGGATAGGTTCAGGTACAGAAGTACGTGAATAATAATAATACAGTGGGCTTCCACTTACGACCAGAGTTCACCCAGTGTCGTCAAATAGACACAACCATTTGGTTGGTAGAAATATATAAGAACCTCATGTTAAAATGTATAAATTCCCCTGTATGTATAAGCCCTGCCAAAGTGTCTAATCCCCCTCCCCTCCCAACCTCCACATGTGTCTCATTCCCTTAGCCATGTGTCTCTTTCCCCCATGTGTCTTATTCCCCCCAGCCCACACATGTCTCATTCCTTCAGCCCCTCCATCTGACTCATTGTCAGGATTCCCCCATATTACACTCTGCAGTACTTCCTGGTTTACCGATGAGGCCCCACCTATACTTGCGATGTCATCCATTCCTGTGTTAAAAGGACGCTGCTCCTGATCTCAGGTGCTCAATCAATTTGCCACTGTGATACTCTTGAGAGAGCACCTTCTATTGATCACCTGTGTTCCAAACCTTTTCTACCTGATCCTGACTACGCTGACTTCTCCACTCCCAAACTCGGAACAGACTTGACCACAATATCCTGCAGGTCCTCAGTATACTGCTGGCATCCTAAATCTTTATTAACAGTTGCAAAGGACTTCCATTCTCATTAATACAGTTACGTTTGTCAGATAAGGAGATTTACTAATGGATGATACTTAAAGTTACTAGGTAGGTTACATGGAATACTTGTCTTCCCTCTGGGATTCAGTTACTCTTCAGCTAATTAAACTTTTCTAATTTAATTCAGTTACTGCCAGAATCTAAAGAATCTATATCTCTGATATATTTCTAAAATAAGAATTGCCTTTGTCCTATTCCTTAATTGATTTCTAATGGACTGTATTATATTTTCCTAATTAAGGAGTTACCTTGTTTATTTATTTCTACTGAATACTATCTCTGTTAAAGCAATTCCAAGCAGGATTTTACTTTGCTTATGCTTTATAATTTTCAAATCATATTGCTAAAGAAGACTGCAAAAGTTAAATTACTTCATTTAAATAAATTATACTTTCTTAAAGTGACAGTATCAAATGTATGATTTATCCTCAGTTGTGTTCCAAATGAAGTTTTGCTAAAATATCACACTCATTCCCTCCATCTCTATGTATCTTACCTGTTCTCCTATTTCCCTCCACCCGGTCTGTCAAGAAGTAGTTCGGAGCTCTCAGTGCGCGTACTTCATGTCAAACCAGCTACAGGGATACAAGCTCATCTACCACGGTCCGTGGCTAGGCCACACTACAAGAAATTACTGACAAACATCCAAACATTCAGTATCTCCTCCCTCTGTATGCAGACACTGAACTTTCCTCATAGAGATTCATTGATTCAATACATCTCTATGTGGAGATGCTGATTGGTCAGGGCTGTGTTTGAATTGTGCTGGCTCTGCCCCTGATCTGCCTACTTGTAAGCCTCAGCCAATCCTATGGGGAAGCATTGTGATTGGCTCAGGCTACCACTTCTGATGATGTCAGCAGGCATTGTGGGCAGGTCTAAATGAAACAGGGACAAACTATGCAGCTGCAGGCTTGAATTCAAGTAAGATTTTACTTTATTTTTAGAGGCATGAGGGTACCAGGGGGTGCTAGATGGTGGTTTTAACCCAATAGGGTCAGGAATACATGTTTGAGTTCCTGACCCTATAGTGCTCCTTTAATTTTCAAAACTTGACAAAAGGTAGAGCTTTGGCCATCACGTTTTGTCAATGCCCACAGTCATCACTAGCGATAGCTGTGAGAATCAGGCATTGTCTCCTATGACCGTTGGATATTCCCACAATCTCCTTTCTTGACATCTGTGATGTACTCTTGCATGTGCTGATGTGGGCAACGAGCTAGTCCTGAGACCCGCAAGTGCCTTTGTAAAGGCAGTAGTTGGAAGCAGGACAGGCAGAAAGGTCAATATTTGACTGGGAGAAAGAGGACAGGCAGAGGAGTCACCTCCTGTCAGGACAGGCAGAGGGGTCTCTACCTGCCTGGGCAACAGGGTCGCTACCTGTCTGGAAGGAGGAGGCGTTGGCATATAGGCCTATGCACTGAGACCAACTGGGGAGATATAGCATGACCCTGGTTTCAGCTAGGATCCCTTATACAGATTAATTGAGGATTCCCTGTCTGAAGTGGCAGACCCACATCCCCAGTGGAGTTTTGTCCAAAAACGTTTTCCAATAGTTTAACAGTCCAGAGTTGGTTACCTTGTGCCAGACTCTGCTGCTTTCTCAGTTTCTTCCTCCGGTATGAGGAGGGTTTGTTGTCTGGGGTGATGCTCTCAGTCACTGTATGCCCCTTTGAGAGAAATGTAATGTTTTTTTCTATCAAGGGCTACGATGAGGTTAAAAAGTTTGAGCTGACGCCCTCAGCCTATGATTGTCTATTCAGCAAACATTCCTCATAATGTGGTGGCCTGGAGAAAGAAAGTTAGGAGACAGTGGCATCAGGTGTCAGGGAGCCATCTTCACCAAGTCTGAAGCCATGTGTCAAGAGGAGCTTAACTCTAACACGCAAACCCAAAGGGAGATGGGACAGAAGCATGTACCAGTCCTCAAGGTAGGCTGGCTGAAACCAATGACAGATGAACAGAATGTCTGAAAATAGACAAAGAGGTAACATTAAACAGGCTGAGGTCAAGAACAACAGGGGAACACAGAGTTGAGAGACAAACCAAGGTCAGGATTATAGAGAGAAAGTATAGTCAGACAAGCTGTGGTCAGATAACAAAATAGCAAACAATATTGGGTATAAAGAAACCATGACAGGACAAAGAGAAGTAGGGAGATGGGTCTTACAAAGACCCAGTATAACTGTGATTGGTCTTTGTAAAAAATGACTCCAAAATGTGTGTGACCTGCATAGTTTGATTAATGCTGACTAGTTGCGTGTCAAGTTTTTAGGCAGGTCTCAATATATATGCCAGAATGATGCTTGATGTCACTATGGAGTGAGGCTGCATGCCCAAATTCAATGAAGATCCTCAAAGTGATGTTAAATGGACCTACAGCTTTAATATACACTGCAGATCTATGCCTAGAAGATCCATGTAACGTGACAGCAAGACAACACCTAGACCAGGCATAGGCAACCTTCGGCACGCCAGATGTTTTGGACTACACCTCCCATGATGCTTTGTCAGCATTATGGGTGTAAGAGCATTATGGGGGATGTAGTTCACAACATCTAGAGTGCCAAAGGTTGCCTATCCCTGACCTAGACACTCCTGCCCCGATAACAGTTTCAATGATTTACAATATAATGGGCGTGGGAGTGTGCCTTTAAGACTCCTCTCAGTGGAAAGAAAGTTTAATAATCTCAAACACACTATGATGAAATTCAAGTGAAAAATGTATTGCCTTTGTTATTCAACAAAATATTTTAGCTCAAAATCTCAAAGTGATGAAATGTAATTCATATATTTCAATATTTTGTAACAAAAGAAAGCATCCCATTTGTGTAATAATCTATCTACAGTTAATCCAATCCCTTCAAATGTATGCCAAACATAACAACATGTACAACAAATATGTAATTCAAACCATGTGAACTTACAATAGCTGAAACATACAACCTACACTTAGTGAATGGAGTATTCCTAAATCAAAAGAGTTTCCTTTATTGGACCCAGCCAGCAGTAGAAAGCTCATACGCTGGATTAGTTCATTTTGTACATCTTCCAAGAGCTCTTTAATTCGGGTCCTGTGGTCTGTTTTGACTTTCGCAAGAAATCAGAAGGTTGTTGAACTGAATCTCTAAATTAAAGATGATGCACTTGTGTGCAGCTGTATTGATTATTTGCCATTATATTTTGCCCAGAAGTGAGAGCATCATAATCAATAACTACACTCTCTCCACAGCAAAGGTAAGCAAATTTGTTTTCTAAACCCCTTTAAATCACAAGTAATAAGATGTGTGCCTGGGTGCCTGTAGCTTATAAGGATAGCTGCTAAACTAGCTAAAAATATACCAGTTGTTTACATGTGTAAGCTTAATTTTAAGTAATTAATCTTAGCATCTAGAACGTATACTAATATTCATCATCTTGGTGCAAAAATCACCAATCTTGTACTTGGCTCCTACCTCTGCACAATTATAGCAAAAAATAGTCAATTGAAAACACGATATGTCGCTTTGAGCAGACCTGCTGTAATTTATATTGACCAGTTATTCCATTTTCTTCATGTCTGGAACATATGGTTGGCAGCCAAGAAACTTCAGACATGCACACGACACTTCTACGAGTTGTGTTGGAGCTTTCCATAGAATGCTAATTTTAAAAATGTACTGACTTGACTTTAATGCACAGTTTGAGACAAGGCAAATGTCTCCTTTCTTATATATCGCCTCACCCACCGCCGACGTTCTCTGGCTGATCGTTTTACTGGTAGCATGTTTCACTCCTTGGTATTTTGCCACCTGGAAGTCTCATGACCAAGCTATAGGAGAAAAACAATTCTGCAATTAATTTTCCTGTGGTATTTTTAGCCAAATGTTTGTATCAGGTGTGTTGTTTGATTGGTCATCCAGTACAGTAATTATTGCTCCTGTGATAAACACAACTGTTTTGAGCCCTTTGAGTTGGTCTTTCTCCTAATCTCCAAAGATTTTCCGGGACACCCATATATCTGAAAACATCCGTAAGATGACAAAAATATTTTGCATATATTACTGTACATTGTGATATGATACTATTAAATCTTTAGTCACAAACACCACATTTATACAAATTCCGACTGCCTATTGATATACTGCATTTGTGTTTTTTTTTTCTTTCATAGTATTTTTCAGTACATCTTCAGCTATCAAGAATATTGACCAAACTGTGAATTGTTTTTACCAGTAAGGGTATTTTTTGACCAAAATTTTGAACCTCTCTTTAGAATCGTGACAATTCACACTTTATTGAATAGCCCTTTATGTGTGTGTGTGTGTAATGCATTTATGTCATTATAACCAATATAAATATAGCTCAATGCACAGTTACTATCTATGGTATGTAGTACTAAACAGGTGTTTATAACAAATAAGTCCTACATTGTATTTCTATACTAAGCTGGAAGTTAATTTTCAAACATTAATTATGTGTTAACTTTTAGCTTGAGAAATTGATTTTAGGCTTTTCAGTATCCCAGGATTCTTAAAGGACCACTATAGTGCCAGGAAAACATACTCGTTTTCCTGGCACTATAGGGTCTTTAGGTTCCCCCCTACCCTCAGGGTCCTACTCCCGCCAGGCTGAAGGGGGAGGAAGGGGTTAATCACTTACCTTTCTCCAGCACAGAGAAACCTTTCTCTGAAACTGCTATGCTTACAGCTGCAGGGTTAACCCTAGATGGACCTGGCACCCAGACCACTTCATTGAACTGAAGTGGTCTGGGTGCGTATAGTGGTCCTTTAACCAAAAAATAATGTTCACGATCTGAAATGTGTTGTGTTACATTTGGCTTTAGATGTGTTGTGTTGTGTTGTGTTACATTTGGCTGTCATGTAATAGGCTGTGCTCAATAATGGCTCTGTTCCTTATCTGCATATTTTCGTAAGCCGCTTTGGACCAAAAAAGTGCCCATGCGTGCATATGTGTGATGATGGGTGTGCCTTTTCCAATGTTTTTATGAGACTTATGTTGAAAAATCCTAAACTTCCAACATGAATGCCGAATACAAATGCAATTTATCACACCAAGCACGATTTTCAATAAATTGCTGTATTCTGTTACTCTGTTCGGTAGAAAATGTGTGCTAATCATCGTACCACGAACACACAGCTGGCTTTAGTTCCGTGGTGTAATGCAACATCATAAAAATACCATTAGTGAGCTGGCTCAAAATAATTGCTCTTTTTATAGTTCCAAAATCTTGGATGAGACATGTGGTATTTAGTTATTGTTCCTCTGGAATAAAAACACAACACTACCACTCTATGGATATTTCTACAGGGAAATATCTTTCACCCATGTGGGTGGCATATACTTAGTTTAGTTTGCTTTCTGCGTTGACATTCTTTAAAAGGTCAGTCTAAGCACCATAGCAATATAGCATTGCTAAAAAGATTAAGTGCACCAACTTCTGACAGTGGCTTACAGCACAGTGATTTATAAAACTCACCGCAGCTATAAGGCCGGCCCCTTGGCTCATAGAAAGCAAAGGAGGAGATTTTACTTCCTCCTATGATGTGTCAGTTTTGTCTAACATATACGTCACATATATGCCACACACTAGTAGGAAAGGTCTCTCTCCTCCCCAGAGAGGCTGAACAAACTTTAAAGATTACCACACACAACCCATTTGTAAACTGTGCTGTGTGAACACTGATAGCAACAGAGCAACTTTAATCAGTTGATAGAACAGTTTCATTCCACAGTTCCAACAGTTCTAATGTGTTGATAGAACAGGTCCATTCATCCTATGTGATAAGTGGTGCTGTTTCATAAATTACTTATCCCATAAACTTCTGCTTGGCCAGCTGTTTATGGCATTAGATAAGACCCCATAGAGCAGAATAAGAGACACGTTATGATGGAGAATTTTCCTGGTTAGTGAAGAGGAGTCTGCCTTTGCAACTTCAAGTCCTCTGATAGTGTTTATTAATTGTCATTTTCTTTTGTCAACATTGCTTTTGTATATATAAATATATTTTTTTAGAAAATGAAAATGTGTTGGGTTGTTACCCATTATTTCCCTTTAAATTAAAATATAAGAAAATATATTGATAAGAAGTGGTAGCTGTTACGAAATTGCTTTTCTAAACTATTTTAGTCATCTATGAATTAGGCCTAATGTGAGTCCACATATTTTCATTAATGTAACAAGAGTCCGATTCCAAAATCCAGTTATTTGACTACTGATGAATGAAGGTAACTGGTTATTTAGTCAAGCAGTAGGTGAAAAACTGCACTCGATATATCCTGGTCAATGTTTTGATATTTCATGATATAGTTCAGTGGTGGCGAACCTATGGCACGCGTGCCACAGGTGGCACGCCGAGGCCCCTCTGTGGGCACGCGGCCATAGGAAGCCGGAGGGAGGGAGGGTGCGCTCCGCAGGCGCATCCATAAGGCGGCACAAGTGGCCGCCTTAGGGCGCACCGGCCCGGCGGGCTCAAAACCGTATTGACCGGCAGGAGGTGAGCGCAGAGCGCACAGCGCTCCCTCCTGCCAGGCACTCTGTGTAGCGTGGCCGAGCGCACCACGGTACAGGAACTTATGTTTCCTGTACCGGCGGACGGAAATGAAGTGCTCACAGAGAGAGCACTTCCTGTCCGCCGGGTACGAAACAGCTCCGCGGTGCGCTCGGCCATGCTACAAAAGGGGAGGGGGAAAAAACTGAGGTGGAAACTGAGGGAGGGGGGGAGGAGGAGGCACTGAGGGGGAGAAAAGGGGAAGATAGAACTGAGGGGAGATGAGGAGAGATGGGGAACGAGGAGAGATGGGGGAACGTGAGACTGAGGGAAAGAGGGGGGGAACTGAGGGAGGGGGGAACTGAGGGAGAGATGGGGGAGAAAACTGAGTGTGGGATGGGAGAAAAAAAATGAGGGAGGGATGGGGGGAAAGAAAACAGTGTGGGGGGGAGAAGGGGGATGACATACACACAGCACCCCTGCCCTACACACATCACCCCACACAAAGACACACACACACACACACATCACCCCACACAAAGACACACACACACACACACATCACCCCACACAAAGACACACACATCACCCCACACAAAGACACACACATCACCCCACACAAAGACACACACATCACCCCACACAAAGACACACACATCACCCCACCCACACATCACCCCACCCACACATCACCCCACCCACACATCACCCCACCCAAACACATACACTGTGTGTGTGTAATTAGCAGTCTGTGTGTGTGTGTGTGTGTGTGTATTTAGCAGTCTGTGTGTGTATTCAGCAGTCTGCTAAATACAGACAGACTGCTAAATACACACAGACAGACTGCTGAGCACACACACATAGATGTTAGATGTAGTTCGGACAACTGTATGAGTTGTTTTTTCTAAACTTAAACCTCAGTATTCAGGTTTAATTGCCGTTTTGACACTTTGAGGGGAAAAAAATTGGCATGTATTACGGTTTGGGCACTCGGGCTCAAAAAGGTTTGCCATCACTGATATAGTTAGTAATTCAGCGTTGAATATATTTATGTCATTGAAAAAACGCTAGTTTCAAACCCTTATTTGTATGCTGATACAATGAATTACAAAACTAAACCTATTGTCAGAGATAAAATAAATAGATATCTGGGTTTGGACAGATGCTATAGGTTGTTCCAGGTCAGTTGTGAAACACCCAAAAAAGACATTACTGAATGTTTCACAGTTAATTAAAATTGCCACAAACATTTATATTCTAACAAACAAAACAAGACAAAAAAACAAACAAAAACAAAGCATTGAGCATACATGTCCTTTATAACTCTCTTTATATAATGTGGAGACTCACATTGTTTTCATTAGGAATTGGATGATTTATCACGTTAAGGTATTTTCTGTGTCTCTCACACTTTTCCCATTGCAATGGAAGCCCCTTTGACACTCAAATGTGTCACTATTTTACAACTGATAAATATTCTAGTATTATAAAAGGAATCAACACAGTAAAGGAGGAGACTATATTTAAAAGAAGAAAAACTACCACAACAAGAGGACATAGTCTTAAATTAGAGGGACAAAGGTTTAAAAATAATATCAGGAAGTATTACTTTACTGAGAGGGTAGTGGATGCATGGAATAGCCTTCCAGCTGAAGTGGTAGAGGTTAACACAGTGAAGGAGTTTATGCATGCGTGGGATAGGCACAAGGCTATCCTAACTATAAGATAAGGCCAGGGACTAATGAAAGTATTTAGGAAATTGGGCAGACTAGATGGGCCGAATGGTTCTTAGCTGCCATCACATTCTATGTTTCTGTAAAAGCATCACTGTCCAAAGCAGGGCCAGACTGGGAATAAAAAGCAGCGCTATAAATAACTATACTAGCTGTGAGATATACAGGTGGAAAAAAAGAAAACATTGAAAATGATTTAAGCAACAAGGAGAGCACTCACGGGACCAAAAAATAAGCAATAGAGCTTCTTTATTCTAATCAGATGTGCAACATCTTACAGTCAACGTTTCATTCCTATAACCCTGCCGTCTTGTGAAAAGTCCAGTTACTAGAGTGAAACATTGACTGAATGCTGCTACATGTCTGGTTTAAATAGAAGTTTGGTTTAGTCTTAAACCCTACGAGTGCATTCTTCGTTGGATAGAGTTTGATATATTGAGAGAAACAAAGAGTTTTTGTAAATTAAATCTAAATGGCAAAATTTAGGCTAAAGTAGTCAACCTGGAGAATTTGGCAAATCTGCTATTTTGGTCTAAATTATACACATCAGATTTTTGCTTCCTAAAATACAAAATTTAGTGAATAACCCTGTGACGAATGTGAAACCCTTTTACACTTTATATGTGCGTAATTTCCGAGTGTATCACACATGTCTATTAATGTATGTGTAACTTACTGATGTTTGTTTATATTATAAACACAATCATTTATCAAATTTGTCCATCTCAGCAATTCCATTGGGATTGGGAGGCTATTGCGCATGTGTGGCAAAACGTCTCACGGCACGCATCAGCATCTCCTCATGGCACGCATCAGCATCTCCTCTGTGAGAAAAGTTCAGGGCCTCCATGCAAAGCATGGAGACACTGAACATCACTGGACAAGGAAGCACCTCTAGAGGCCATCTGAGTAATTGCCACTAGAGGTGTTACTAGGCAGTATTGTTAGCCCTGCATTTTCTCAGAAAAGCCTGCAGGACAGACTGTAGACATCAAAACTACTACATTAAGCTGTATTAATTCTGGTGATTATATTGTCCCATACATACACTGACACGCATACACTTGCACACAATTATTATTATTTATAAAGCGCCAACAAATTCTGTAGTGCTATACAATGGGTGGACTAACAGACACGTATTTGTAACCAGACAAGTTGGATACACAGGAAAAGAGGGGTTGAGAACCCTGCTCAATGAGCTTACATGTTACAGGGAGTGGGGTATAGTGACACAAAAGGTAAGGGTAGGGTAGAAAAGTAGGTTGCTAGGATAGTATTCACTGACTGTTTAGTGTTTTGTTTTGTTGACAGTTACAGGAGAGGAATCAGGGTGCGGGTAGGGAATGCTGTTGACAGTTTAGTTTTTATATTTTCCTGAAGAAGTAAGTTTTCAAAGATTTTGTGAAGGAGCAGAGACTGGATGAAAGTCTAACGAAGAATGGAAGGGAGTTCCACAGCAATGGTGAAGCCCGAGAGAAATCTTTAAGGCGAGCATCAGAGGCAGGGCCGTCCTTAACGCGGGGCAAAAGGGGCAGCTGCACCAGGCCCAGTTAGTCTTAGGGGTCCCAAAGCCCTCCGGCCGCCGTGGTGCATGCGGCCGGCGTGGAACTACCACCGCGGGCTGCGCGATGTGGGGGCTCATCGGGTGGCCAATGCTCTACGGGCCAACCGATGGCGATGGATTTTCAGGGGCCCGGCCGCTTTGAGAGCGCGACCAGGCCCCCTGTGATGATGTCAGGATGCTGGGAGGAAGTGACAGCCGGTCACTTCCTCCCAGCATTCACCGAGCGCCGCGCGGGAGGAGGAGAAGAAAAGGAGGGAGTCAGAGTGGGAGCTCTGACTCCCATCAGCCTGAGCCAGCCTCCTGAACTCCAAAGGTAGGAAACACATAAAAAAATGTGCATGTATGTATGTATCTATCTGTTTGTATGTACGTATCTGTATGTATGTATGGGTCTGTCTGTTTGTATGTATCTGTATGTATGTATGTATCTGTATGTATGCATGTATGTATGTATGTGCCTGTCTGTCTGTTTGTATGTATCTGTATGTGTCTGTTTGAATGTATATATATGTATGTGTGTATCTGTTTGTATGTATGTATGTAACTGTTTGTATGTAAGTGTCTGTTTGTATGTATGTTTCTGTATGTATGTATGTATGCATGTGTGTATCTGTTTGTATATATGTTTGTGTGTCTGTTTGTATGTATGCATGTGTATCTGTTTGTATGTGTGTTTCTGTATCTGCATGTGTCTCTATATGACCCTGTGTATGTGTTTCTGTGTGTCCGTATTTGTGTCTTTGAATATATGTGTATCTGTGTGTCTCTGTGTCTGTTTGTATATGTGTATGTCTATATGTGTATATGTTTGTATGTGTATCTGTGTGTATGTTTGAATGTGTGTCTGCATGTCTTTGTATCTGCATGTGTGTGTGTTTGTATCTGTGTGTGTGTCATTCTGTATATTTGAATGTGTATCATTCTGTGTGTACGTGTAGCTGCATTTGTATCTGTATATGTGTCAGTGTCTGTATCTGTGTGTATCTGTGTATCTGCATGTGGATCTGTGTATGCATCTGTATGTTATTGTGTGTATCTGCATGTATGTCACTGTGTTTGTTTGTGTGTTAGTGTTTCTGTTTATCTGCATGTTTGTCAGTGAGTGCATCTGTGCATCAGTGTATGTAGGTGTGTCAGTGTGTATCTGCATGTGTGTCTGTGTATGCACTTGTGTGTCTGTGTATGGCTCTATGTATGTCTGTACCTGTGTATGTGTGCATCTCTATGTATGTCAGTGATTGCATCTGTATATGTGTTAGTGTGTGTATTTTGTCTCAGTGAAAAATGAGAGGGCTAAGTGTGTGGTTTTTTTTTTATATTTGTGTGGGCGTTGATGGTGTGATTGCATGCTAGGAAGAGGAAGGGCTAGGTCAAGGGGCCCCAAGCAAACACCTGTCCAGGGCCCAATTAGTATTAAAGACGGCCCTGGTCAGAGGTAGGAGTACGAACGGAGGTTAGACGTAGGTCTTCGGCAGAGCATAGGGGCATAGACGGGACATATTTGTGTATTAGTGAGGACAGGTAGGTGAAGTCAACATAGGAACTGACAGAGGGGGTAGGTGTGAGAGGTGCAGGTGGACAGGAAGATGATCCTAACAACTGCATTCATTATCGACTGTAATGGGCAAGTTGGGAACACGTAGGACCACTGAGAAGTGGGTTACAGTAGTCAAGACAAGAAATCATCGGCATGGATAAGCACCTTAGCGTTAAATAGGGGCGCATGCGCGTTATGATGGAAGCAGCAGGATTTGGCAATCGACTGGACATGAGCAGTGAAGGAGAGGTTGGAGTCAAAGAGAACACCTAGACAGCGAGCCTGCGAGGTAGAGCTAATGGTAGAGCCATTGACAGACAAGGGAGTAGCAACTCTTGAGGGAGCGAAGACCAGAAGTTATGTTTTGGGCAGGTTACGTTTAAGGAAATGAGCAGCCATCCAGTTGGGAATAGAAGAGAGACCTTCAGAGCAGTGGCGTCTCTAGGATTCATTTTTAGGGGAGGGCACATGGTGGGCCAGGGACAAAAGTAGGGGGGCACATTTAACCCCGCCCTCACCGAAGTTTGACCCCGCCCCTGCTGCATTTTAAGCCCCGTCCCTGTCACAATGTGTTTTTTTTTTTTTTTTTTTATAATTCCTGGTGGAAAATCCATTATTTCACACCAAGGATTATTAAAAAACAAACACATTTCCCTTGATACAGTCCATACACACACACACACACACACACACACACACACAGACTGCTGAGTCCTTACACACACAGAGACAGCTGAGTCCATACAAACACAGACACAGACTGCTGAGTCCATACACACACACAGAGACTGCTGAGTCCATACACACACAGAGACTGCTGACCATACACACACACACACACACACACACAGACCTTACAGACACACAGACTGCACGAGTCCATACACACACACACACATAAGCACAGACTGCTGAGTCCATACAAACACGAACACATAGACTGCTGAGTCCGCACACACACACACACAGACTGCTGAGTCCATGCACAGACTGCTGAGTACACACACACACACACACACACTGCGGTCCATACACACACACACAGGAACACAAGCACACAGACTGCTGAGTCCCACACACACACAGACACAAACACAGACTGCTGAGTCCATACACACACACACACACACACACACACAGACTACAGGTCAGCGCACACACACACACACACAGACTGCTGAGTACATACACATACATACACAGACTGCTGAGTCCATACATACACACACACACAGAATGCTGAGTCCTCACACACACACACACAGACTGCTGAGTCCACACACACACCGACTGCTCAGTCCATACAAACACAGACACATAGACTGCTGAGTCCCTACACACATACACAGACACAGACTGCTGAGTCCATACACACACAGAAACACACACACACACACACACACACACACAGAGACTGCTGAGTCCAAACACACACACAGACTGCTGAGTCCATACACACACACAGTGGCGTACACATGACCCATGGGGCCCCGGTGCGAAAATTGATCCATGGGCCCCCCCCACCCCCCTCAGAGAAACTGCTATGTTTATGAATGGGTTAAGCCTTCCCCTATTTCCTCTAGCGGCCGTCTCATTGACAGCCGCTAGAGGCGCTTGCGTGCTTCTCACTGTGATTTTCACAGTGAGAGCACGCCAGCGTCCATAGGAAAGCATTATGAATGCTTTCCTATGTGACCGGCTGAATGCGCGAGCAGCTCTTGCCGCACGTGCGCATACAGCCGACGGGGAGGAGAAGAGGAGGATCGGAGGAGGAGAACTCTCCGCCCAGCGCTGGAAAAAGGTAAGTTTTACCCCTTTTCCCCTTTCCAGAGCCGGGCGGGAGGGGGTCCCTGAGGGTGGGGACACCCTCAGGGCACTATAGTGCCGGGAAAACGAGTATGACTTTAAGGACCACTACAGACACCCAGATCACATCAGCTCAATGAAGTTGTCTGGGTGTCAGGTCCCTCTAGTTTTAACCCTGCAGCTGAAAGCATAGCAGTTTCAGAGAAACTGCTATGTTTCACTGAGGGTTAATCCAGCCTCTAGTGGCTGTCGGCTGGAGAAAGGTAGAGATGCTGAAGACACACACACACACACTTACAGACGCATACACACTAGCTAACAGACACACACATTTACTGACAGAGACACAGTCAGCGACAGACATACATACACACTCACTTACAAAACATACACTCTCATTGACAAAAACACACTCACTAACAGACATCAAACAGACTCACTAACACACACTCAGTAAGACACACACAGTAACACACTCACTGACACTCACTAGCAGACACACACACTAACACTCACTCTAACACTCACACACACTAACACTCACTAGCAGACACACACACTAACACTCACTCTAACACTCACTCACACACACTAACACTCACTCTCACACACACACACACACACTCACACACAAACACTCACTCTAACACTCACTCTAACACTCACTAACACTCACTAACACTCACTCAAACACTAACACACACTAACACTCACTCACACTAACACTCACTCACACTAACACTCACTCACACTAACACTCACTCACACTAACACACTAACACTAGTTGTTTTTTTTTTAAATGTAATCCCCCCAGCCTCCTTACCTTTTGGAGTGCTGGGGGGATTCCCTGTGGTCCAGTGGGGCTGCTGGGCGGGTGGCCGGTCGGGCAGGCAGGCGGGCGCGTGAGGGAGCACTTTCCCCTGAGTGCTTCCTCTTCAGCTCCCTCGCGCGCCGCGTAGGGATGCCGGCGCCGGAAGATGACGTCATCTTCCGGCTCCGGTATCAGTGCGGTGTGCGAGGGAGCTGAAGAGGAAGCACTCAGGGGAAAGTGCTCCCTCGCGCGCCCGCCTGCCCGATCGGCCACCCGCCTTCCGGGTGTCAGCAGGGCCAGCCTCGGGGGGCCCTGGGGTGGCCGGCTCCTGGGCCCCCCAGGGGAAGAGGCTGGCCCTGTGGCTACATACCGGGTCGCAGGGGCGGCCGGGCCCCCTGGTGGGCCGGGCCCGGTCGCAGCCGCGACCCCTGCGACCCTGGTATGTACGCCACTGCACACACACACACAGACAGCTGAGTTCATACACACAGACAGACTGCTGAGTCCACACATACACACACAGAGAGACTGCTGAGTCCATACACACACACAGACTGCCGAGTCCATACACACACACACACAGACTGCTGAGTCCATACACACACACACTCACTGCTGAATCCATACACACACACACACACACACAGACTGCTGAGTCCATACACACACAGACACACAGAATCCATACACACACACACAGACTGCTGAGTCCATACACACACACAGACAGCTGAGTTCATACACACAGACAGACTGCTGAGTCCATACACACACACAGACTGCTGAGTCCATACACACACACGCACACACACACACAGACTGCTGAGTCCATACACACACACACTCACTGCTGAGTCCATACACACACACACACAGACTGATGAGTCCTTACACACACACACACACTGCTGAGTCCATACACACACAGAGACTGCTGAGTCCATACACACACAGACAGACTGCTGAGTCCATACACACAGACAGACTGCTGAGTCCATACACACACAGACAGACTGCTGAGTCCATACACACAGACAGACTGCTGAGTCCACACACACAGACTGCTGAGTCCATACACACACACACACACACACAGACAGAGACAGACGCTGAGTCCACACACACACACACTGCTGAATCCATACACACACAGAGGCTACTGAGTCCATACACAAATACAGACTGCTGAGTCCATACACACAAACACAGACTGCTGAGTCCATACACACACACACAGACTGCTGAGTCCATACAAACACACACAAGCTTCCTCACTAGCAGACACACACACACACACACAAGGCTGAGCATATTAAGCCTACTTGTCACTGGAGCCTGTTGCTGGGGGTCAGACAGCCATCTTCTGGCCTTTCCAGCAGCAGCAAGGGCTGCTGCTTAACGGCGTGGCGTGGCTTATGTGTGGGAGGTGGGGCTTGGTTTGGGGGCAGGGCCTGTGCCGGGGAAGCTGCTGAAAACACCCAGCAGCGTTCTAGCTCCTCTTTCCTGCATTCCCTTGGGCTGTGACACACTGTTACAGTCCGAGGGAATAGAATTGAAGCACATGCCCAGCAAGTTGCTGGCATTTGGGGGGGCACAGCATGATGTAGGGGGGCCATGGCCCCCCCCTAGCGATGCCACTGCTTCAGAGACACGAGTCAAGAAGGGTGGTGAGAAATCAGGGGAGGACAGGTAGATTTGCGTGTCAACTGCATAGAAATGATACTGGAAGCCAAAGGAGCTGATGAGTTTACAATGGGAGACAGTATAGATTGAGAACAATAGCGGACCAAGGACAGACCCTTGGGGAACACCAACAGAGAGGGATTGGGGAGAAGAGGCAGAGCCAGAGACAGAAACACTGAAAGAGCACTGGGAGAGGTAAGAAGAGTACCAGGAGAGAGTAGTATCTCAAAAGCCAAGATTACGGAGGATGAGAAGGAGCTGTTGATAATCAACAGTGTCAAAAGCAGCAGAAAGATCAAGGAGAATTAGAATAGAGTAGTGGTCACAGGATTTTGCAGTGATAAGATCATTAAATACTTTGGTCACATCTGTTGCAACAGATTGAAATGGGTCAAGCAGATAGCTGGATTCGAGGAAGTCTGTGCAATCACCAATGGCATACACTGGCACACATATATACAGTGTGACCCATACAAACACACTGACACAAATTGATCCTTACTGACAGAGACACAGTTACCCATACAAACACTGGCACACACTTACATGCACTCATTAACACACACTGGCACAAATTGCTCCATACTGACATACACATGATCAATACTGACACACACATTGATCAATACTGACACACACACACCCACATACACACACCTACATACACAATGATCCATACAGACACACATTGATCAGTACTGACGCACATTGATCAGTACTGACACACATATTGATCCATTCCCACACCCACACACACCTACAAACACACTGATCCATACAGACACACACACACACACACACAGATCCATACTGATACACACACAGTGACCCATACAAACACCGACACTCACATACTGCTCATTGAAGCGCACACAGATATTAGTCATGTTCTCAGCATAGTGCAAGTTCCTTGATGTTTGAAGAAAACCGGCAGGACTGTGCGGCCCCAAGTGCCGCAGCCAACCGGGAAATTTCCTGGTATCCCAGTATTACGGTTCGGCTCTGGTCTTACGTTATGAAAGAACTAATAACACCTAATACATTCCACATGGAAAGCAATTGCATCTTCTTCAACAAATTATGTTCTAATAGAAAATGAACAAAAGTGTGGACACACACACACACACACACACATATATATATGTAAAATAAGCAGATATAATTTAAAAAATAAACTATATGTTGGGGGAATTAAGAGGTTTTGAAACTATTTGTTATTAAAACATGTTCAGTAATTTCAAACAGATTTAAGTTTATCTCTACTGGTTTACTAGGGATTTTGGCATGTATGCTACAGAGTATGGGAAGATAATCATTAAAGTGTAAGATGTATTTTCCAGGCACTAAATGTGGCTGCGTGGAATAATAACTTATAGCCAATCTGTCAAACAAAGCGTTTTCTTAAACTTGATCTCCAAGGGCTTTGTTCAGTAAGCAGCAAATCATGGCAAATAAAAACCTGAATTTGGTAATTTTGGGCCAAAACAGGCAAGCTGGGAATAAATATCATTAAAGGAGCTTTTTCCATCTTGATTATTTTTGTTCACATTTCACAAATATAAACAAATTCCATGGTGTCTCAAATGTTTGTCACAATGAGAAACAAAGAGAAAACCGAAAAAAACTAAAGTTTTTTTAATATAAATTTGATCAAATAAAATAACACATATAACACAAAGTTGTCTCTGTTTACAGCAATAGTGACCCAATTAATATGCGAATTTGGTAACAATGGTATTTTCTGAGGTTTAGCTCATCTGAGAGGAGCTTTTAGTAGTTGAGATGGCTGAAGATAAATGGTGAGAAAGAACTTATGGGGTACCATAAACTGCTGAAATAGTGGGGTAATGGTTTATGTAAAGTATATCAGATGCTTAACCAGGGGTGGATCCAGAACCTAATCTCGGGAGGGGCACTGGTAGATTATTTAAAAAAACAATAAAGGCACAATAACCACAACAGCTCTTTGTAGTGGTTATGGTGCCAGGAGTGCTGTGGCACCCTCCCAGAGTAAGTAGTGAAACCATTAAAGAACCATTTGACAACTTACCTGTGGTCTGCCGGGATAGGTGCTGTAGTTTGGGATAGGGGCAGTAGTGTGTGTATGTGTGTGAGGGGTGCAATGTGTGAGTGTGTGTGTGAGTGGTGAAGTGTGCGTGTGTGCAATGTGTGTGCTGGATGCAGAGTGTGTGTGTGAGGGGTGCAGTGTTTGTGAAAGGGGTGCATTGTGTGAGTGGTGCAGTGCCTGTGTGTGGGGTACAGTGTGTGTGTGGGAAGGGTGCAGTGTGAATGTGTAGGGAGTTATTGTGTGTGTGTGTGGTGGTGGTAGGGGGAAGATTAAAGCGAATATATATGTGGTTTGTAATTAAAATAAATATACTAAATATTAGCTCCTGGGCCTAGAGTTTACTCTCGTGAAATAACTGCGGCAATGATCCAAGCTCGCGAGAGGAGAACCCGACAAAGCTGCAGGTCCCGGGTCCTGTAATTCCTCTCCCGGCTGCCCAGCAAAGTGCCTTTGGGCTGGTGAGGGAGATCTCTCCTCTGATCCGTGAAGGCACTCAGCAGGGTTGACAGAGGAGAGAAACAGAGAGCTTCTCGGGGGGGTGGATCCGCCACTGAGCTTAACAGCTGTAGGCAACCATCAGCACTCCAGATGACGAATACATATCCCTTCATGCTTTGCCAGCATTATAGCTGTAAGATGTTGCCTATCCCTGATATAGGGTACTTTAGTAGAGGGAATTTCTACTACCTTGCATGGGGCATTATATAATCTCTTAAGGTTAGGGAAGTACCACTGGGACCACCTACCTTTGCATTAATATAAGGAAGGTAAGATTTCATGGGCCAAAATATCCATACCTACCTTTACTTCTTAATGGAGAAAATGGTATATATTAATAAATTAAGACCTAAGACCCAAGGCTACAACAATATGTCAAGAAAGAAGCAAATCATGGAAAGTAAAAATCGAGATTTATTTAAAAAACAATTTCAACATACATTTACAAAACTGGAAATTGGCATAATAAATATTTCTAATTAAACTATAATTATTTTTTCAAGGGTAATGAAATCAAGAGTGTTTTCGGCATTGTTGGAGAAGTTATGAAAAACGGTACCTCGGTTACAAAAAAGAGAAGCAAAGCCACCAGCAGTGTAACTACTTATGAGAAATGTTCCCATTTATGCAAGGAAACGACTTCGAGCCTAAAAGAAAAAAAATATAACATGTGCAGTAAGTGCTGATTTATAAGAAACAATATGTGTTAATATAACGGAATCCAAGTGGAGTGAGGCTCATTAGTTATTTACAGGCACCTATAACTGCCCCATATACTGTGCATTGGAGAAGCTGATAATGTTTGGAATCTTCAGGCCTGCCTACCCACCTCTTGTGAAACATGTTCTCTGGGAGTTGCATGGGACCTTTATAATTCACTTTTTTTTACATTCAAGAATGTGCCAGCATGTTCCAGCCATTAAATGGATCCATGCATTTTCCTCTGCATGGATAGAAATCATATGGGACTACAAGGCCCATCTTATGACTGGAGGAGGTATGTCCATACATGCACGCAGAGATATTTTTGCATCAACTAGGGTATGTCATACCTGCCGATCCTGCCTGTACATCTTCTTGGATGAAGGTGAACAGGGAAGAGAGCAGGCCAGTGGTGACCCTAGGAACAAAATATAGGGGGGAACTTAAAATATCACAGTCAAAACTGGGGGAAGGGGGGATGGGAAGCACTCATAATTTCCCCTTGGGGGGTAACATGTTGTGTCGGTGGTGTCAGACAACACATTTGCACAGAAGTCACACCTGCCACCAGGGATTCTTTTTCTGTGCAGACCAATAACAACCCTTAAAGTTACTCTTTGAACTGTTTAGTAGATAACTCTCCTATTTGCTATCTTTATGTGGGATTACCATATTTAAAGGACACCAAAAAAGTCAGCTATCTGCTAACAGCACAAACATGTGTTATCTTTAAATATGCTAATTACACATAAGGCTACAAATTTAGGGAGTTATCTACTATATACATGCATGTTTTCATGCATACACACATAATCACAGACATCCCCCCCCCCCCGATTCCCCCTCCCACACACACACAGTGGATCTTCTCTCTGGTGGTTAGTGGGTTTCTGCTGGGAAAAAAAATGTAAGAACATCATAAATCAACAAATGCAGGTCATAGGAAAGAACTGGATTCAATGCTTACCTATGAGAAGTATTTGATTGAATGAGGAGGATTTGGATTGGAAATCATTTAAGTAGGGCCACCTCCATGATGACGTTGTTGGAGGAGGAGCAGACAGTAGAACCGAGTGAGTCTTGGTGCAGGAAAAAATGGAAGTAAAACCTTTTTCTTTTTTTTAAATTTTCTCTTACATGGTAACAGGAGGGGGGAATAATTCTAAACATGGGTTAGGACGCTCTAGGTTAGGAATACATGTTTGTATTCCTAACACTGCAGTGCTTTTTGAAGATAAGTCACAATTTTTGCAAATCCCCATTTACTAAATACTTTAATACCACCAAATCTAGTACAAAATTTATTTGTACGTCATCATACATGGCTGGTGGCTAATAACCTTGCGGTCCACAATTATACACTACAGTTTTATTTGGATTCCCGTAGTAGAATTTATTCCTTTTCTTTAAGGCACACCTTTTTACTTTCTGAACATCATTAATTAATTAATATGCCACCCATTGTGGTTTGAATAGCATCTACTGAACCTACAGTGGATAATGAGCCCTCGATTTGTTTTCATATAGCTATTAACTAGAATTTTCTTTAAAATCTTTTGGTAGGAAATTTGCAGATTTCTCTGATTACTTATGCAAGAGGTACCAAAAAAATGTTGAAGAACATGTTAGAAGAACAACAAAAATCCTTGGAGTTTCTTTCTAATCAGGTACAATCAGTATATTTTTGCCTTGATGTTAATTTCTCTTTAGATAGTGGTGTTCGAGGTCCATTAGAGACTTTGAATTTGATCCTTGGAAGTCTAGAAAGTCAGTGTATAGCAGAAAGAAAAGCAGATCTAAAATTGGGTTAGATGGATCTGCCAGAGGTTTGTTTCCAACAGCAACTACTTAAATAATCTGAATAGTCTGGAAGAATCATTTCTAGAATTTACGCATCTAAAAATTGACAGTGCTTCCCAATGTCAATTACGTCAGCACACCTTGACTAAATAAAGTGGAATACAATGCCCATCTCTGGGATTCTAGAGTTTGCAGATCTCATTCCAATTCTTATCTGCAATACTAAAATTACTACTTTATAATATGGTGTTATGTTGCCTCTGCTCTTAGAGTACCTTCAGAAAGAAAAGTAAGGTCATTGTTGCTCTGCAATATTCGAAAGATATATTGATCATGTTTTGTGTTTGACAAATCATGTGTAATTTGCAAAGAAAAATATTTAGTAGCAAAAAATTAACAATAATGGTTCATATTGATTGTAATTTGCAGTAATAAAGTTTAATTCCTCTATTATTACATCTTTAGGTGAGTGAACTAACCAATAAGGTTCTTCTTTTGAATGCAGAAGTCTTGAAAAAACATATGGATCCCTTTCCTTTGAGACCATTTCAAACCCATGGTAAGAACATTCGTACAGAGACTATAGGTCAATTGTTCTGCTCAATCATTGCCCTACCTAAGTGAAGGACTGAAGCATTGACTTTCTACTATGTATTGAGCATGTTAAATCGGCTATGTCAACCAAAAAAAAGAAATGAGCATTGACCTTTTTATAAAGATAAAATCTTTATCTACGAAATGGTCATAACAACTGTGTTGGAATTTTATTAAATATCAACTTAATTTAAATTCCAATGCTGTCAAAATATATCATAAGACAAAGCAGGGACTACTCTGCCTTGACAAAACTTTACAAAAGGTGGTGCTACCACCGCAAACTTTTGTTACTTCCCATAGCCATCATTAGCAACGGCTGTGGGAATAAGGTACTGTTTCTCCCATCATAAGACAATATCTATGGAGGCTCCAGTGGTTTTATGGGATCTTGCATAGACATCAGTGTTGTACTCTTGCACTTGTATAGCATTTACGTGAGCTCTTAAAAGATGAAGCACCAGGAGCTGAAGAAGGCAATATAACTTACCTCTACTAAACTCAGGCCATGCCTAGTGGTAATGCAAGGAGCCCAGAAAGTGATAAACCTTTATTAAATCGGCTCTGTCATTAGGTTTGCCCCCATCTACAAGCCTGTCAGACCAGTGCTACTTGTGACGGTTGAATAGGGTATCACCGTCAAGCATTCCCTTCTTCCCAATAAAGAAAATCACCCAATATTCCACAAGCAGAAATATCCCTGGAATCGCCGAATAATCCACACATGAGCCAAAGCTTAATGCTGGAACAAGACTGATTTACTGGTACACAGGACTCACAATTTATGCAATACAAAACTCCTCCTCTGAGCCAGGCAAGATAATTGAGTTTCTACAATACACAAAGCTCAATTATCTGCTGGCCAGAAATATTAAAACATTTTTAACAATTCCAGAGAAGTACTTTTTATATAACATACAAATATAATAACATCCCTGGGTAGCTTAGGATACTGGTAGTATCATATCCAAATCCCACGAATTTCCGGTCGGTAGTTTCCGTGTCGCCTCGTGTGGAAGTTTGACCGGCTCGCCGTGTGGAGGTGTCCGAGTTTGAGTTCCATGAAATTAGTAGCAAGAGCCGGTCTCCGTTCGCATCTAACTACACGAAAACCACCGTTCGTATGGTACAGCTGGTTACATACAAGTGTTCCCCTCATTCGGTAGATTCTATCTTCCATGAAGACCGGGCGTTCGCATGGTTGCCTTGCCGAAAATAGTTCCAGGCAATTCATGCGTACGCCCGCTGACCACGTTCGTGAGTTTTTAAGATGGCCGCCATCCTTTGTTCTCGCCACGTGTTCGTATGCAGAATGGCGGCCACCCAGGAGCAATTAAGTCGTGGTTTTCTCCCCGTTCTAAGGCTGATTGCTACCCAGGGTAGGTGGTCTCTTGTTCGGTGGACGAATACCAGCTTTCACATAAATAACCAAAAACCGAATACAGAATACAGTATTACAACAGCAGGGAGAGGACATAACTGAAGGCACACAGGTAAGTCCAAGAGATCCTTCACACTACTTACTTTATTTCAAGTTGTCCCGATCTTGCTGGCTCTTAATTTATAGTGCCGCCATGTTAGTGTGCCTATGGAACTGGGTTCACTGTCGGGGTCCCACAAGAGCCAACACAGTGAAGTGATGACACAATGCTCACGGTAGTGACACAATTCTGGATGGAGGAGAGTACGAGGTTGATAGCCCATAGTAAAGTTGGTAAAGGTTGTGGTGCTTGACTAATGTTACACCTTTTGTCAACCTTCAAGTTATACATAAGGCTGCGCAGGGAGACTGGTAGAACGTTACAAAAAAAATACAAAAAAATGAACAGAGCCAAATTTCATGAGCACCTTATGCTCAATGATATCAGCTTGGGTGGAATGATCCCCACCGAGGATATATATGAGTAGAAGTAGAAGTTGTGATGGTCCCTGGAGAGGCTCCTTTACGATGATAAAATAAATGCAGGATAAAAAAACAAAAAACATAAAATTTTAAGGGTAAAAACTATATTTATGGTAACATACCACACAAAATGAAATAAAAGCAAATTAAAAAGTCCTTCTGAATAGTCACAACTGGTTTTGCCCTTGGGTTTTCTCAAGTGATCAAAAAACCTTTTTAACAAATCAAACAAAAGCAATTGAAGTAGCTCAACACAATGAATGCTTCAATTTTTTCTCCAAATTCAACTGAAACTGCAACTTCTTCAGTCTAACAAAATATTCAACCCCCTGAATAGAATCCCTCACAACACCACAAATATGCAAAATAGGTGTTATCTCAAGCACACCTGATGCAACAAATTAACTGCTTCGTTAGTTGCGCCAGGTGTGCTTGAGCTGGAACACTTGAAAAACCTGAACTGACTAGGGTTTTGTTGAGTGTCATGTTTGACTGCATGTAAGAAATATAGCTAAGTCAAAAGAATGGTCCACAAAGCTAAGAGAAGAGACTATCACCCTTCACAAACAAGTAACCGGATACAAAAAGGTTCCTAGAGACATGTTGGAAGCATAGTTTGAAAGTTCAAAGTTGAAGAAACAGGAAGCTATCAATGGCAGATTGAAAAAAAACCCTTGAGTGACTACAAAAGACCTGCAGCAAGACTTGCTGGCAACAGGCACTGAGTAAGTAAGGCGTGTACTAAACATAGAAGGCTTCCATGCCAGAACTCCAAGACGTATACCACTACTTATCCAAAAGTAAAAGAAAAGTTGGCTCCAATATGCTCAAAATCATATAAATAAGCCACAGAAGTTTTGGGAGTTCTGTGAAGCAACGAAAAAAAAAAAACCTGGAACTTTTCGGCTCAATGGATCAGCAGTATGTCTGGAGGAAGAAGAACGAAGAAACATACGCTGAATTTTTTTTTCTGCCTACAGTTTAGCATGGTGGTGGCTCGGTGATGCTCTAGCGTTCCTTTGCATCCTCTGACACTGGAAACCTGCAGCGTGTGGATGGCAAGATGGACCATTCAAGTGTCAAGAAATCCTAGGAGAAAACTTCATGCCCTCGGTGAGGAAGCTGAAGCTTGGGCATCATTGCACCATCCAACAAGACAATAATCCCAAGCATACCTCAAATTCCACCAAAGCGTGGTTGCAGAAGAAGTCCTGGAAAATTCTACAGTGGTCATCAGTCACCTGACTTGAACCCTATAAAAAATCTCTGGTGGGATTTGAAGAAGGCGGTTGCAGCACGCAAACCCGAGAATATTACTGAACTGGAGGCCATTGCTCATGAGCAGTGGGCTAAGATTCCTCAGTAATGCCTTGTGTCTGGCTATGCATACTTACCATGAAAGCGTTGAATAATTTTGAGACTGGAGATATCATTATACGTTGTATTTTCAGTTGAATTTGGGGAAACCACTTGAAGCATATGTTGTTTTGAGCTATTTGCTTTTGTTCGATTTGTTCATTGCAAACCGCTGAAAGTCTGTAAAGTTTTACAATAAACCTGATTTTCTGAGGGGGGATATATAATTTTGATTACAACTGTACTTCATAGGCGTGCGCACGGGGTGTGCCTGGGCACACCCTAATCCCCGTGGCACGCACTATGGCACAGGCTGGGAGGGAGACAGGAGAGGACCCGGGGAGCTCTTGTCAGCAGCTCCCCCGGGTTCCTCTCGCGTCGTTGGAGCGTTGCCGCGGTAAGATCTCGCAAGAGAGTTCACTCTCCACCGGACCACCAGGGAAGGCAGGAGCATGGTCCTCCCTCCCTACATAAGGTAAGAAGGGAGGGGGGATAGTAACTAAACAGCCCCCACACCCCGACACATTACACACAAACAGCACACACACATACATCACTCTTACACACACAGCACACACACACACTAACAGCACCCTCACACTAACACCCTTACACACACAGCACCCTCACGCATACACACACAGCACACACTAACAGCACTCTTACACACACACAGCACACACTAACAACACCCTTACACAAACAGCACCCTCACCCACACACACAAAGCACACACCAACAGCACCCTTACACACAGAGCACCCTCACAGCACCCTTACACATACACACACACAGCACCCTCACACACACAGCGCCTTCACACACACACACACACACAGCGCCTGCACACACACAGAGCCTTCACACACAGCACCTACACACACACAGCATCCTCACACACACAGCAGTGTGTGTATGTATGTATGTATGTGTATGTATGTGTACACACAGCGGCGTGTGTGTTTCTGCTTTAGGGTGCACACCCTTATACAATAGGCTGCGCATGCCTATGCTGTACTTTTTTATATTCTGGTAAAGTGAAATATTTCAATATATCAAAAAAGATTCAGTAGAATTTTTAAAAGCCAACATTAACACTCCCCCCCCAGTTTAAACATCTGCCATCCAATCTTCTTTCCCCCCCCCCCCTAACATTTTATTGCAAATTCAGCAGTTTATCCACAAGAGACAAATATTGGGGTTACATATCCGAACCCAATTCTCTTATTGAACCAGATGTCAAACGTCACTGTTAAAGTGTGTAAACATGGTCTATATTAGTATATTAAATGCAGGTCTATTTTTATTAATCTGGCCTTATAATTCAGTTCTTCCCACTTATATAAAGTTAAATAAAGCTCTCAGTTTTTGTAATAATCGTCTAGTTATAACTTATAATTAAACATTTTCTTAATCTCATAAGCATGCAACCCACTGGGAGTAACAAATAATATTGATGGAGGAGTATGGTTTAATTATTGCTTATAGTTATAATTATATCCGAACTAACATCTGTTGTTGAAAAAAAACCCTATGATTGTTATTATAATGTTATGTTAGTCTGGGAACTGAGTATATTGAAATAATTGAGCTTACAAGTCTACATTTGGAATGTAATTGAAATAAATACTTTAATGAAATAAGTAACACAGACACTTACCATTTTCCGAACACATGCTAACAATTTTAATATTTTATATAAGCCAAAACATCTAGAATTGTGAACTGCGTAATATATACCATGTTTAATGAATCATGTTCATAGTTAACAAGTTTGAAATTAAAGTGATATATTGTTCTGTGTACTGGTTATATGTAAGTGAAATTGTTTATTTTTATTTTAGGTTATGATTGTACAGATATTAAGGAAACTTTTGGTCCAGTTTCAAAAACCCCAAGTGGCTTATACATTATACAGCCTGAAGGATCTAATGCTCCATTTGAGGTAATAAATCAAATTTAAAATTGAAATGAACAAAAACATATTTATTAAATCTAATCTTTATTGTGTATTTCACACAACTTGAATGCAATACAATTTTAAGATTGATCAGTTTAAGTAAAACAAGTAGTGAAGAAACTGGAAACATATCTTAAAGGACCACTATAGGCACCCAGACCACTTCAGCTCAGTGAAGTGGTCTGGGTGCCAGGTCCATCTAGGGTTAACCCTGCAGATGAAAACATAGCAGTTTCAGAGAAACTGCTATGTTTACACTGAGGGTTAATCCAGCCTTTAGTGGCTGTCTCACTGACAGCCGCTAGAGGCCGCTTCCACGATTCTCACTGTGAAAACCACAGTGAGAAGATGCTGACGTCCATAGGAAATGCTTTCCTATGGGCGGTTTGAATGTGCATTCGGCGCTGACGTCGGCAGGAGAAGGAGAGGTCAACAGCGCCGAGGGAGCCTGACACTGGAGAAAGGTTTTAACCCCTTCAGCCCAGCAGGAGGGGAGCCACGAGGGTGGTGGGAGGGGGGGGGGGGAATCTAAGGACTACATAGTGCCAGCAAAACGAGTTTGTTTTCTTGGCACTATAGTAGTCCTTTAAGATCTACAATTTTATGTAGTAAGAGAGCAAATTAGTCCAATTACTGAAAACATAATACAAATTAGCAAGTAGACTAAACATTTTGATAATCCTGATAAATCATTGGTCCTATTGGGGTTAAAGTTTTTTTTAAAGGGATAATAAAGTGCTAGGAACACAAAGTCCTATAGCGTTGCTGCATGTTATCATAACACCACTCAGATACATTGCTCTGCTCGTGGGAGAAGTAAAGCCAACCTGCAGGCAGAGGAGCAGAGGAGCAGAGGAGCACTTATACACACACACTCTCTACAGCCCCTAGCCATACATATAATACCATACACAAAACACAACTGCAACTAAAACACAAAAATACCACACTACAATCACCTCAGTCTACAAATGCAATCCTATAAGCACCATACAAACACATGTACAGTACTCTTTCCTGACCCCTTTGTCCTCTGAAACCCCACTTAAAGGAATACTATTGGGCTAGGAACACAAACATGTATTCCTGATCCTATAGTGTTAAAAACACTATCTAGCCCACCTTGCTCTCCTAAATGTAGTAACATCTTACCTTTTACCAGTCTTTGGCTCTGCCCCTAACCTGCCTCATTGGCTAACATTATCAGAAGTGATGATCTCAAGCAATCACAATGTTTTCTCATAGGAAAGCATTGTATTGGCTAAGATGGTCAATTTTGATGATCTCAGACAGTGGCACAATCCATGGGGCCACGGTGCGAAAACTGATCCATGGCCCCCCACGCCCCCCCGACAGACACACACAGATACATACAGACACACATACATACAAACAGACAGGCACACATACATACATACAGACCGACACACACAGGCACAGACAGGCACACACAGACAGAGACACACAAGGCACAAATACATACAAAGATACATACAAACAGACAGGCACACATACATACAGACATACACAGACAGGCACACACACGCAAAGACACATACATACAAACAGACAGGCACACACACACAGACAGACAGACAAAGACACATACACACAGACAGACACACACACACACACAAGAGATACATACAAAGACACATACACACACACACATAAACAAACAAACACACACACAATGTTTAAGTCACCCTCCTGTTTCCTACCTTTTAGGTGCAGGAGGGTGACATTCCCTGGGGTCCAGTGGTGGCTTAGGTTGATGCGAGTTAGTTACCACTCTGACGCCCTCCTCCTTCCTCCCGCGCGGGCTCTCTGTATGCTGGGAGGACAGCTTGTGACATCATCACAGGGGACCGGTCGCGCTGTTAAAGCGCCCAGTGCTGACTGGGCCCCCTGACAATCCATATCCATCGGGTGGCCCTGAGAGCATGGGCCACCCGATGGACCTCTTGGAGGGCGGCCCCGGCAGTTTGCCGCGCAGGCCGGGGCCGTAAAAGATGGAGGCGGGTACCCAGTCGCAGGGGTCCGCATGGAGGCCAGGCCCCATGGAGTGACGGGCCCGGTCGCTGCTGCGACCCCTGCGACTGCAGTATTACGCCGCTGATCTCAGGAAAGGAGGCGGGCTGGGGGCCGCCCTGGCCAATCAACATCTCCACATAGAGATGCATTAAATCAATGCATCTCTATGAGGAGAGTTCAGTGTCTAGGGTGGAGACACTGACTGTCAGTGCTGCTCACTGTGCAGCACTTCCCCTAGGAAGCATCTGTAGCGGTTGTCTGAGGAGTAGCCATTGGAGGTGTGCCTAGGCTGTAATGCAAGCACTGCCTTTTCTCTGAAAAGACAGTGTTAGCTGTAAAAATCTGGCAGGGACTGACTACACTCAACAGAACAACTACATTAAGTTGTAGTTGTTCTGGTGACTATGGTGTCCCTTTAAGGAGTCACCAGAGACAAGTCACAAGTAAACGCAGTGGAAGCGTGTCATTAAATTTGCTTGTTCTATGCAGGGCCTTTTCTTCACGCAAGAGCTTTTTAGAAGCCGTCTGCGCATGGCGTCCCTGGTAGTACATTGTACCAACACTCCCTCTCTAGCCTTGCCCCCCTTGCCACTGGGCCGCTGTGATTAAGAAAAGCCAGGGACAATTTTTTTCCCCCAGTCCGGCCCTGCTTGTAACACATATTTAGGCATATGAGAATCAGATTAGATGAGAGCCATTGTTGAAATTGACTGATTTTCATATAGAACAATTAGCAAGTTAATATTGAAAACAGTCTTGGATACTTTACTTTGACTTTTTATCTGCTGGGGTGCAGACATAATCTCACAAACTGCAATGTTATTTTATTATGCCTTATGAGAAAAAAAAAATAAACAGAATGGTTTTACCACCCATTTGTGCAAAAAGATACTGGTTTCTGTTTGTTTACACGCTTAAACATTACAGGGGATGGATGCAACAAATAAACAGGTATATAAATCCCAAGGTAAGAAGGAACAATGAGATAAGCACTCACCCAGATGTCTTTTTAGGAGAAAAAATGTTTATAACATAATCTATTTTTAAATCCATGGGAGGGATGTAAGACAATATTTTGCAACATTCATAAGAAGTAAACTGTATAGATTTAAAACACCTTGGTGAAACTAAAATAAACTGGGTAAAGCGTAAATACTAAAAATTTTTAACAATGTTATTTTTGTCAGGCGTTTTGTGACATGGATTATAAAGGAGGAGGATGGACTGTTATTCAGAAGAGAATTGATGGCACTGTTGATTTTCAGAGGACCTGGCTGGACTACATGGATGGATTTGGGGACCTGTCAGGTAATATCATCCTGAAGTGATGTATCCCTTAAAGCTGGATTACCGTATTGTCTTTTAATTCTCAATCTCACCCATAAGATCAGCCCAGATCCATAACTCTTGGATAAAGGTAAATCCTTTCTGAAAAAATAACAACCACAGATGATTGTTTTGGCTTCTTATAGATCTCTATCAAATACATTTCCTATCACTCTGCACAGTTATCAAAGGATTCACATTTAATTTTACCCTAATTCTCTGAGGAGAGTAAGACATAGACCACTTGCTCACTATGACTAGAGGGATATCAACAGTTCCTCTTGGACAAGGTCTGTGTAAGACTCAAACAATCAGCTTAGGTTGCTGTGATGTTCATGCAGTGAAGACTTGACTGACAGTTTATGCCAAGACTACTCAGAAGTTCCAGCTAGGTTCTTTCCCATAGGGTTCCTGTGCCTGCTCTGTGAGGATTTTACATATTTTTTATGTTCTTTCAAATTATATAACAAGAATATATTCTACAGAGCTATTAAAAAGAAAAAAAGTAAAGTTAATACATAAAAAAACAAAAAAACAATAACAGTGGTCATGGTGCCAGGAGTCCATTGGTCCCCCCTTGCCAATGCAAGAAATCACACTGATTCAGAATAGTTTGACTTCTTACCTGAGGTCAATCAAGTGCTGCTCTCCACCTCCTTTACATCAACTAGAGACTCAGAAGCTCTCTGCCTGAGTCATGCCCAGTAGTGCAGGGCCTATCTCATAGACTGAGAGCGATCACCTGGTGCTCTCAGCCAATGGGTTAGCTCCTGCAGAGGCATACAGTGGTGCCCTATGGAAGCCAGGTAATAAGTCACACTGTTCTGAAACAGTTTAACTACTTACAGTGGAGTGAGGGTGGGTGCCAGGGCACTTCTAGCTCCATGAGCTCTACAAAACACTGTAGTGGTTATGGTGTATGGAGTGTTCCTTTATGAAACTGGGTAAAAGCCCTAGTTGTAAGAGTTTGGTGTGGATACTTATTTAAGCTTAGTAGCAAGATTGGAAGTCCAAAATCATGATATTAAACCATAAATAATATAGATAAACAGCACCAAAGAAGGGGTAATTATTATATAAAATAGTCCCTAAGAGCAATAATATATGTATAAACCAGTTGAGATTCTTTATATTCAATTCCAAAAATCTCAAAGTAAAACAGAAACAAACAAACGGTGCAATATGAAATAATAATGTGGGGAGTTTAATCAATGTGCTAAAAGACTAACTCACACTACTATTAAGAGCTCTGGTGTAGTCAGCATGTAGACAGCACAATCACTGTATAAGGATGTATGGTGACCAGTGATGGTAGATAATCTCCACATCCAGTGGTGGCACAATGTTTAAAAATTACAAAGGAAAATCCAGTGGCACAGAATATTTCTGTAGATAAATATTTGTCAAATCCCGCCGCTTCTAGCTCAAAAACATAGCTTGTGTCAGCCCCTATCTAATGACTGATGCAGCCATGGTGCTGGATCATACTGCTATCATCTCTTGACTTGACTATTGCATTGCACACCTGTGCAATAATCATGCTGTCTAATCAGCATTTTGATATGCCACACCTGTGAGGTGGATGGATTATCTTGGCAAAGGAGAAGTGCTCACTGACACAGATTTAGACAGATTTGTGAACAATATGTGAGAAATAGGCCTTTTGTGTACATAGAAAAAGTCTTAGATCTTTGAATTCAGCTCAAAAATAGGGACGAAAACAAAAGTGTTTTGTTAACAGGCAGAGTTAACAGGCGCTGTCTTTTTGCCTCGGAGAGTTAACAGGCGCTGTGTCCCAGGAATTCCAGCCAACATATCATCCTTTGTTCGCTGCCAGACAGCTGGTACAGGTGAAATGCCAAAATCCTTTAACTGTAGGTACGCATTTCTTAAGTGAATTTTGGTGAACTGCCGGCCACCTGCCAATCATGCGAAAAGATCATCTATCCTAGGAAAGGGACACTTATCTATTTGAAGCTGCAAGTTAAGAGCCATGCAGAAATCCCCACAAATCCGTATGTCCCCATTTATTTTTCTCATGGGAACAAAGGCAAAGCCGACTCACTATTGTGAACCCTGGAGATGATATTCAGCTCTCTTAATTCTGCCTCTACTCCTGCTCTTAGAGCAAATAGTGCATTTCTTTAAAACATTTTGGTGTTTCTCCTACCTTTCATTTCAAGGAAACATTTTGGCCCTTTTACATTTCCCAACTGGCCATCAAACACTTGTGCATACTTCTCTTGTAACTCTCTAATCCAGTCTTATCTGCTTTTTACTTAACACATGACATAGATACTTATGGCATTCCAAGAGTCTTTATTCATTCCATACTAAAACGTGAAGGCCCTCCATTCACTAAGATCTACAGATGTAGTTCTTTCTTGCACTTGTTTAATGTAACTGTGGCAGACACACACACCACACTGGTATTAACAGCTCTTTAGAATATGTTTGCAGTCTCACTGTTGCCTGAATTATTGGCCTATGCATGTTAAAGGCGTTTCCAGTCTGTCAAAGAAATCACAGATACAGGTAAACCTGTGTCCAAATCTATAGTTAGTTTTTTGCCATTCACAACAACATGAACTGAGAATGCAGCCAGACTGGAACCTGTCATATATTTTTAAATTTCGTACATGAAATTGTTCATCTGAATCCTCAGAAGACTCCTGCATTTGTACTTTATAGGCATTCTTTGTCTGTCTCTCAAACAACTTCTGCCTCTGCAGAATCTTTGTAGGTGGTCCATTTTACCACGGGCATGACGGTTGGCATCCTTGAATCTGCATGCAGTTGCATTACAGTTGCAGTTGCTGTGCTTTCTCGACTTGACTACTAAAATCCGCTTCTCAGTGGTCTTACGTGCTCCCAACTTGCCCCGTTACAGTCTATAATGAATGCGGCGGCGATGCTCATCTTCCTGTACACTCGCACCTCCCATGCTTCCCCCTCTGTCAGCCCCTACATTGGCGTCCCATGAAATATAGGGCTCAATTTAAGATCCTTGCTGCTCCAACCTATTTATTCTCACTAATACACAAATATGTCCCGTTAGGCCTCTACGCTCTGCCGAAGACCTGCGTCTAACCTCTATTCATACTCCTACCTCTGATGCTCGCCTTAAAGACTTCTCTAAGGCTGCACCATTCCTAAAGACTTGTCTAGGGCTACACCATTCCTTCCCCTCTCTGTTAGACTTTCACCCAGTCTCTACTCCTTCAAAAAAAAAACTACTTTTCTACCCTACCCTTACTTTTTGTGTCACTATACCCCACTCCCTTTTGCATATAAGCTCATTGAGCAGGACCCTCAATCCCTCTGTTCCTGTGTGTCCAACTCATCTGGTTACAAATTTGTGTCTGTTAGTTCACCCATTGTACAGCGCTACGGAACTTGTTGGTGCTTTATAAATAATAATAATTCTTTTTTTTTTTTTTTATTCTTTATTTTTGGTATGCAGATAGGTACAACAGTGCCTGTATCGCCACAACAGCGTCAGCAGGCTCGATTTCCAAAATAATTTTATAACAGTATTGTGGCATGTAGGGTATGCATAAATTTTTTAAATAGGAAGGGTAACGATAATTAAGAGGTCTAACATTCAGATGCAACGACTCGTTAGCGTTTACAGTTTGCACATTTTTATATATATTTTTATCAAGCTTGACCATACAGTTAGAACGTTAGAGTAAAAATGAATGTAAATAGAACAATTAATGCTTAACTACGCTATTTTCACCATACCAGTATAGTCGTGATGTCACAAGCTAATCATGCTGCTTAAAACTAGGGACATGTACGTTTGTTTTAGTTTTTTTTCAATAATCAAGAGTACATTAGTACCTGCACTTTGTATGGTTATTCTGCATTCGTAGTGGTTTAGTCGCAATATGTTATAAGTATAAAGTATAACAGACAGGCATACAGTGGCATATCCCATTGGTGTATACAAGAATACACATGAATAGGCATAGTGAGGTTGAGAGATGTAAAAAATACTGCACTTTTCTATAGTAACATAGACCTCTGTATCAGCTATAAACAAATGTATAGTCGTAAACTTAAACATGGGGACAGTGCTAGTAAGGAGTAGGCTATTACATAGTATTGTTAGCTAGGGAAACCACCAACGGCTAGTTAGCTTAGCTCGCTGAGTGTAAGAACATGGTAAAGTGGGCAGGAGGGCTGTAGTGAGCAGTGGGACATTTGGTACCTTCACCCTATACCCATGGCATGTAGGCAGGGATCAGGCCCGCACAAACGGTAATAAGGGTCCTCTGGGATTCTGCATCCCGCTGCAGTACACCCAGTCTCATGGTCGTAGGCTACTCTTCCCGTGATAAGGCAAAGTCCTTGGGTCTGCCGGGGGCCACGGACTCCGCTGGTATGCAGCCCACGTGCTGCTCGCTGCCGCCGCACGGGTCTCTGACCTGCTGAGAGTTTCCATGGTGGATCTTGGGTGTGCAGCCCTTGCGCTGCTCTCTGCCGCCGCCTGAGTCTCTGACCTGCTGAGGATTTCGGCGCAGGACCTCGGATTTGCAGCCCTTGTGCCGCCCGCTGTTGCTGTTTTGGTCTCAGACTAGTTGGGGGTTTCCGGGCAGGAACTCTGCAATCAGGTTGAGTTACCTGGACCATCGCTGCAGATGATTTCCTCCGTTCCCTCAGATTCCGCCAGAACCTCCGGCATATGGCATTGAATGCCCGTGTGAAGCTCTCTTCCCAGCTCTGTGCCGGTTCTTGTGTTTTGTGCTTCGCATCAGCGCTGCTGTCAGCCATCTTAGGTCGGCCACGTGGGGGCTTTTTCTGCAAGATTCGCTCAGGAGCCACAGGTAAGTGAATGAATACTGCTTGGTGGGGACCAGGATAACCCCCGCTGGCCCAGAGGGGGGGGGAGTACGGGGCACTATAGATCCACAAAGAAGAGTGCCTGGGCCACCCCGGTCAGAGAGATCGGCCGCTTCTCCCGCCGAGGTAACACCAGGCCGCACGTAGATGGCCGCCACTGCTTGGCTTTGAAAGTGTGGAGGTCTGGATCTCACTCCAGTGTTGCCTGCATGGTGCTAAACAAGTTTGCCAGTGTGAGTTAGTCCAGTAATAGGGCGTTTGTCACCCTTCAAGTCGATTTTAAGCCAAGATTAGGCAGGAGCCCATGCTTTCTGCATCCATTCAGAATGGCGTCCAAGCCCCGCCCCCCAATAATAATAATTCTTAGCGCCCATACATCACAATATGCAGACTCATCCACTCAAACACAAACACTCATACACAGCCCAACTGTCCATACAACACAATATGCAAACTCATGCAATCACAGAAACACTCATACACAGCCCAAGTGTCCATACATCACAATATGCAAACTCATGCAATCACAGAAACACTCATACACAGCCCAGCTGTCCATACATCAAAATATGCAAACTCATACACTCATACATAAAATCATATACAGCCCAACAGTCTGTATATCACAAACACGACTCAAAGCTGCCACTCACCTATAAACCATTGTCGAGACACAATTCAGCCCAGTAAGGAGAATGAGCTTACCATTGACCCTTCATGCTTGCTGTGGCGAGTAACTTATAGGCCAGTTTTGTAGAATGGAATCTTAATTATGAGCCCTTATCTATAATGTAATACTTCACAAAACAATAACATTGTCCTATCCCAGGATTACCCCCCTCCCCCCCTCATTATGCATGCCCTTTAATTATATTATTTCTAAATATGCAGTCTAACATAGCTTGGCATAAGCACATGGCAAAAAAAAAAAAACATGATTCCATTGGATAACACTGAGCAGGCTTTAGTATTGTGACAAATACCATGCCTGTATAATCACTGTGCTTCCTGTTTAGTTTTGGATAAAAATCTATTTATTGGTGTCAGTAAGGAAGTGTATATTTCACAGACAACTATCTGGTGACGTGGTTTAAGAGTGATGTTAGTGATGGCTTTCACATGACAGGTGAGATAAATACAGAAATAGAACTAGTTATTTTTAAATATGCATTCTATGTTAAATTAAATGTGCAATCTCACCGTCTGTAAAAAAAGACATACGAAATGAACACAATACATTAGTGTTCTGTTAAACCTAAAGGGACACAATATGCTAGATGTGCCCCCTCCCCTTCCATTTCAAAGGATTACATAAATAACACAGGTCAACAACTGATATTAGATCGATTTTAGAGTAAGTTTGTGTTGCGAATTCTGAAAATGGCATTGATTTTTCTAGACTGGATGTCATGTTACATGATATTGTTTTATTATAATGTACTGTTTCTTTAATGTTCATCTTAAGTTTGTCTCTTGTGCCACTCGTAGTTTGCATGCTGCTTCAGGTACTCTCCTCCCCCTCTCCTGTTCTTGTGTTTTCTATGCTGTACATTTAATGTGACTAGTGGTATCTCTCCTACCTGTTTGGAAGAATCATTCTTTTACCTGTTGTAACTGCACATTCTACAGATTATATGATGAGTAAACGTTGCCAGATCTTCTTTCATGTGAGTTGTGACTGAGTAAACTATCTGGGAAAGTGATTTGGTATGGATAATCTCATCAGGGCAATGAGCGCCATGTGCTCCTGAAAAACACATTCATAGCCTTTGCAGCCGTTCCAGAATACTGGCTCTATTTTCTTTTTTTTTTTTTAACAATGGATACCCCCATTGAGAAATGTAAAAAAATGCAAACAATTTAATGGTTAGACATACCCTACCTGCAAAACTGGAAACTGACTCAAATCATACAAATAACTAAAAACAATGTTCAAGATAATTTTAGATTATATTAGATAAAAACAATGTTACAGAGTAAAAGGACAGACCAAACCCAGCTGCATACGTCAGGAGCCACAGGTCGCATTGGGGTAAAATCATAATTTGAGGAGTATCCATTATCTCAAAAACTAGATCCAATTCAACAAAACAATGTAATTTTTGGATTCAGCACCCCAAAAATATCCTACATTTGTTAAAACATCCAACTAAACAAAACATTTTTTTTGTTGAGTTTGTTTTTTCGGGGTAAAGATCAGGAGGCTCCACCTGTCAGGAGTCTCATTCTGGTTCTTATTGTTGTCTTATTCCATAAGCACTGTCCAGCAAGATGTATCCACATGCTCCAGTTTTATTTATCACATAGGTGACTTATTAGTAAGCTGATAACAGCCATTTATAATATGATTTAGAAACAGGGCTGTGTGTAGTAATCTCCTGTGCTGCCAAACACTCATGCACAAAGTCATGGGTTAGGTTCTCTCCTTTGAAAAATGATATATCCATGCAAGTTTAGCGTGTAGTTTACTCTTGCTGCAAGCACAATTTGGATAGATCTGGAAAGGCAAAGGAGAAGGCAAAAATATCTCCACTGAGGTCAGAGAACAAGGTAGCATCAAACCGCTTCAATGACAAGCCATGTTCAGCAGTTAGAGTGGGCGTTGGGTAAGCTCTGCAACTTAATCTTAGAAATAACGTATAGCTTTTATGTTGTCTATGATGGCTTTACGAGCCTTGTCATCAGAGCATCTTCAATGAAAGACAATAATAGAATGAAGTAATCAAGATGTGGACAGGAGGGATATCAGCTGGCCTTTTATGAGGCCTAAACATAAAATAGTGACTACTATGTCCCAACTGCAAAACACATAATTTTTGTTCTGAATTGCTTTTGTGGGGAAGCAGCCTGATTTGCACATATAGGTGTTTCCTCAATATTGGTAAACATTAGATAAAAGAAAGTTGAGATGCTCCTAAGTAGGCACCATCTCATATGACTATTTATTGAAGTCTATTCTCATTTGGATTTCTCTTAAACTATATTTGCTTATCTAAAAAATATACACTGCTCACTGCAATACAGAGTATATAGACTTCATTGTATGAACCAGTAAGTGACATTTTTAAAGCATTGTGTCACTGTTTATTTTGTTCCGAGAAACAGAGTAATATAACTAAGAAAGCACCCATCACTTCCTCTTGTTCAATGGCTGTACTGAAGAAGAAGACATTAGAACTAATTCAGTACTTATAAGTATATTGTATTGCATAGTGTCATATGCAACATTTTATGAATATATTCCAGACCTGACTGTATGGTCACAGCTGTGGGCTAGGCTGTGACATCCACAGTTAAACCATATTCTGACAATGTGTTCTGGCCAGACATTTGCATACTGGCTCATTCAGCAATTGTGACTCACGTTGTTCCAAACAGATGATTTCAATGCCACATGGACGAAAAACCGTCTATAAAAGTAACATTCTTTTCTTCTCACCACACAGAGATTTTATTCAGTCACAATATTCCAGTTGGCGGGTTATATCCATAATACAAACATTTGTATATATATATATATATATATATATATGTAGACAAACAACTCCCTTATTTGTTTCTTGTTTTCAGGTGGGTATACACTTATTAAAAAGTAGAATAACAGATTGGCACACGGATCATTGCTTTGCATTTCACAATCAAAGGTTCAACTGTACACTTCTTTTTGCACTTACATTTTCTTAACTGTATATATTTGTCCAAGATTCTTGCCTTTAATGAACTGAACATTATTAAGCATGTAGATTGTTTGCTTCCACAGGGGAATTTTGGCTTGGTCTCAGGAAGACGTTCTGCATCTTAAATCAGAAAAACACTAGCTTCATGCTGAATATTGCTTTGGAAGCTGAAGATGGTGCATTAGCTTATGCAACATATGATAATTTTTGGCTCGAAGACGAAAAGACTTCATTTACAATGCACGTTGGACGCTATTTTGGAACAGCAGGTAAGAATATTTGTATCACTGTCATTTATAAAATAACAAACATAGTAATTACAATTGGATTATTTTCTGTTATTTATTTTTGCTATTATTGATGAAATATAGTTTGTCGAAATAACTTCTATGTTCAACGAAATACAAAAAGTGATTAGTAAAAGGCAAAACACCAAATCCACTATTTCTGCAGTAAGTTGTTTTCTTGTGGTTTTCAAGCAATAAGCCAGGTAAAATATATATAGTGTAGTATTGTTTATACAAAATAACACGATTTTAAATATTGCACCAACATGAATAAAGAATTAAAATATCAAATGACTATTAGTTTCCATAGATCAACTCACCACCCAAAAGGAACAGTGTTGGTGAAGATTCGTGGATTCCCCGAGCTATACAGGTTCCAACAGTAACGAATGCCAAAACAAAAAGCTGAAACTAATATAAAATGAAACAAAAATAAATGACTATATGAAATAATCAGGAATTAAAGTGCTTGCTTAGCATCTTTTATTCATCTGCACAGATTACTTTTATTTAAAAAACAAAACTTTTGTAAGAAGTGCTTGTGAATTATTATTTTCTAGGTGATGCTATTCGAGGCCACCGGAAGGAACACAATCAAAACGCAATGCCGTTCAGCACATTTGACATGGATAATGATGGCTGCTACCCATCATGCACTATGCACGGCAAATCGGTAAACAGCTGCAGTGCACTCAACAACAGGAGTGGCTGGTGGTTTAACCAATGTGGCCTGGCCAACCTGAATGGTGTTCATCGTGTTACCAGGGGTGTGGAAATACCGGGCATTCATTGGAGTACATGGAAACAAAATAATTCCACTGTAAAAATTAAATCTGTTTCAATGAAGATCAGGAGAACATACCAACCATTTTATAAATGACTGCGCCATTGGTGTCCATATATAACTACAGCTCAATTTGTTAATCTATTATTAGAAATTGTACATTGAATTTGTGTAATGTATTTTGTGAGCACCTTTAGGATTTAACCATGAGTTTGTACCACATATATTGTTAATCATTGGGTACACAGTAGATGAAGTTTCTTGTTTCAAAATGTTTTTGATGTACGAAACATTTTGTGAGTTTTTTTGCAGAAATAGAATGACAGATTATCCTCTTGTCTAGTGTGATGTAATTAAAAGCCAATACCATTCAGATGATACCACTGTCACTGGAAATTTTTGGTAGTCAGTTGCACCTACTGTCATTTTTGCAGCTTACCCTTATATTATACATTGTGACTTTCAGGACTACATTTTGCTGTGCAACCACTGTAGAGTCACACTAAGCATCATAGCAACTTTGACTGTAAAGGCCATGGTGCAGAGGGTACCCTTCTGTGAGTAACAAATACCTGTAGCCGTTATCAAACAGACTTCAGCTGTAGTAATGCCCCTGATCCAATTAATGAATCTGTCCACACAACATGAAATACTAGAGTAGACATGTCTTTCCTCCTTCACATAACAGTTGTTAGCTCAGGCAATAGCTGCACACCGCTTCATTTACAATACTCTGAACCGTGCAATGTATAAATGGATAGCAACCATATATGCTATGAGCTTACTGACCAGTTTCAGTCAAGCTACCCATCCTTCTGTAGCTGCGGTATAAATTATATTTAATATATACTCCTGTTTGGCAAAGGTTTGGATAATTAGATTCCTATAAATTCCTAGAATAAAAAGCTCCTGATTGGTGGAGCATCTTGTGATCTGGTGGAGCGGTGGAATTGTCAGATGCATAATTTGCCTGTGCAAGTGTTGATCTATATAGTGTATGGAAAGAAAATGTGGGTTACTTCCCAACTATTGTGTCCCTTTAACCCCTTAAGGACGGAGGCAATTTTCCACGTTCTGAACCAAAACAAAATCTGAGCTTTAGATTTGTTACACTGTAATTTAAAGGGTTCTCTTCAAGTGCCCCCAACTATATTATTTATAATATTTTTTTTTTTTTATTCTTTATTTATGTTGACAAAGATAGCATGTACAACTCGAGAGCATTTCTCAGTTTGCAACAGTTAACACATACATTGTATACAGGGTACGTCCTGTCTTCCATAACATACGCATACATTGGGTGGAGGACTCAAATTCGCCACTTTACCCCCTGCCACATACGTTTTATCTATATCAATACTCCCGAATATGACACGCTGCAGACTGTCATGTTTATCTTTGAGATATATTTAGACAGAGATAGATAGAGAAAAGTGGGAAAGGTATCAAGATAGGAGGGGATAAGGGGGTGGGGGGGGGGTTTGCGAAGGAGCATCGTCCGTTGATGTTGCTGACCAGTGGACCCAAAAACCTGCCAGGTGGTTTAGCTCAAGGGGCTGTCTTCCCAAGGAGACCATATTTTCTGGAACCGTTTTTGAGTTCCCCTAACTCTTGCTGTCAGGTCGTCCATCAGGTGGACTTCCCTAATTCTATTAATGACTGCTGCCATCAGTGGGGTGGTTTGTTTTAGCCAGTCCACTGCCACTGCTCTCCTGGCTGCTAAAGTTATGTTGTGTATAAGTTTTTGTTCGTTTCTAGTCCACCCATCTATCGTTCTGCTGAGCAAATATACCCACGGGTCTAGGGGGGGAGCTCTGTTCAGCACCCGGGTTAGTAGATCTTTAATTTGGTGCCAGAAGCTTGCTATCAGGGGGCATTCCCACCACATGTGAATATACGTCCCTTTAATTCCGCACCCTCTCCAACATACATCAATAGTGCTCTTTTTCATTTGATACAGTTTTACAGGAGTCGTGTACCAGCGGAGCATCGTCTTGATCGCTTGCTCCTGGAACGCTACGCAAACAGAGGATTTATGGTTGGCTTCCCAAATCTCCTGCCATTCTATCCCTTCCAGCTGTTCCCCTAGGTCCCTCTCCCAATGTTCCGTGTACGCCAACTCTCCCCCTTCGTTGGGTACTGAGCAGAGGTGGGCGTACAGCCGAGTTATCAGGCCCCTAGGCATATGGTCCTGAATGCAAATTTGTTCGAAGAATGTCATGGGCTTTAGGGCCGCCGCTCAGACCCATGTCAGTTTTGCAAAATCTTTTATTTGTAGGTACCTGAAAAAGTCTGCGGGAGTGAGATGCCCCCTTTGTTGTAAGGCGTCGAAAGTCACTACCTCTGCATCCTGCACCAGCTGATATATGTGCTGCAGACCTATTCTCTCAAGGTTCCTAAAGTTGCGCGCTGCCATGCCCGGAGGGAATGCTCTATTTCGTAGGTACGGCATCAGAGGTGATGGGGCCGATGCCAGCCCGTGTCGCCGTTGAGCTCTATCCCAAATATGTATAGAGTTTAGGATAGCTGGGCAAGTCGATCTAATGATTGGTCTATGTTCTTTGGGGACCCATATAAGCAGCTGTGGAATATCAGCCCCCCACCATCAGTGACTCCAAATCCACCCATTTCCTCTCTCCGGGTGGAGAATGCCATAATGCTATTTGCGACAGTTGTGTCGCCATGTAGTATCCGTATAGGTTAGGTAAGCCTAGCCCGCCTCTGTTTTTTGGCCTGTGCAATATCTGCTTCGAGATCCTGTGGCGTTTGTTTTGCCACACGAATTTCCCTATTGCTTGTTGCAAGGGCGCTAGCTGCATCCTGGAGATATGAATGGGCAGAGACTGGAAATAAAATAATATCCTGGGTAGGATATTCATTTTGACCGCATGAATCCTCCCTATCCAGGAGATGGGTCTATCGGTCCAGGTCTCTAGTTCCCTGATAAGCTGCTTCAGAAGTGGCGTATAGTTCTGTGGATAAAGTTGGTCAGGGGCTGCTGTCAGTTTAATGCCTAGATATTTGATCGACTGGCGTTCAATACGGAGGTGGTGTGCCCTTTGTATAACTGTCAAGTCCCCTATCGGAATCTCTATGGGGAGGGCGCTGGATTTGGTCATGTTAGCTCTGTGTCCTGAAACTGCTCCATATGCCTCCAGGACACCCTGCAAGGCCTTCATTGAGTTGACGGGGTCAGTGAGCGCCAGGAGCACATCATCCGCGTAGGCCGACACCAGGAATTCCCTGCCTCCCACCCGAGCCCCCCGTATGTCTGGGTGTCGTCTAAGGGCCTGGAGTAGGGGTTCCAGGGAAAGCACAAAGAGGAGAGTGGGCACCCCTGTCTGGTGCCATTGTATAATCTGACGGTTGTAGTGGGGCGCCTGAAATTTTTACCTGTGCTCGTACGTTGGTATACATGGCTTTGATCAGAGTTATTGCCTGCTCGGGGAATCCCATGTGGGACAGGAGTGTGAACAGGTACGTCCACGTGACCCTGTCGAACGCTTTTTTGGCGTCTAAGGAGACCAGCAAGGTCTGTGTGTGCGTAATTTTCTGCTTCCAAATAATATCAATGTTCCTTCGGGTATTCTCGAACAGCTGTCTGCCCTGCACGAACCCCACTTGGTCTGCATCTACCAATGTAGCTAAAAAAGGGTTCAGTCTTGTCGCCTGTATCTTTGCCAGGATTTTCATATCATGATTAATCAGTGAGATCGGTCTATAGCTACTCGGAATGCTCGGGTCTTTGTCCGGTTTAGGCAACAAGACTATGGTTGCTAGCGACATGTCTAAGTCTGGGGCGCCCCCTGATCTAAAATCGTTAAAGAGGGCGGCTAATTGGGGAGCTAGCTCTTCTCTGAATTCCTTGTAATAGCTTCCGTCGAAACCATCAGGTCCGGGGGCTCTATTCCCTTTCAGGGCCGCTATGGCGTGCGCCACCTCTTCTGGCGTGATTTCTGCCTCTAGTGCTTCCACACCTGCCTGTGATAGCTTGGGCAACCCTAAGTCTGCCAGAAACTTTTTTTCCAGTGCCTCATCCTCTGCCGTCCGCAACTCAGATCCCGGGGTATGATTATAGAGGGATTTGTAATAGTCTGTGAAGACCTCTGCTATGTCTCGGGGACTAATTTTAGTTGAACCATCGGTATTTCTAATGGATGTAATGTGGCCCCCTCTCTGTCTGGGTTTTAGGACTCTAGCTAAGAGTGTGTCCATTTTATTTGCGTGTTCGTAAAAGGTCCTTTTGGACCATGTAATAGATTTGGCCGTGTCGTCTAGGAGTAGCTGGCGAATTGCCAATCTCAGCTCCTTCAGTCGACCCGCAGTAAGGTCGTCCGGACAACTCTGGTGTTGGTGTTCCGCCCTCTTCAGGTCTGTCAGGAGTCCCTCTAGTTTCTGGAATTTCCGTTTCTTTTTTGCAGTTGCTAATTTTATTAGGGTACCTCTAATAACCGTCTTGTGGGCCGCCCACACTGTCGCCAATGTCACGTCTGGGGTAATGTTAGTCTCGAAAAAACTGTTGAGCTCCGTTTTGATCTGGGTTGCTATAGACTGATCTTTCAGGAGGGAGGCATTCTGGAATAGGATCCATGAGGGGCCGAGAAGAAAGTGTAATCCCGTGTGCCCGGATGATGTGCTCTCCATGCGTCCACCAACCCCGTCTCCGCCATAAACCGTTGTAGCAGTTTATCTTGGCTCCCTCTCCCCTGGGACCGCTGAATGCCGCTGCCTGTCCTCCTGTCTACCGCCGGGCTAGGCGTAGCTTTCAAATCGCCCCCCACAATGACAAAAAACAAAGAAACAACGTGGTGCACCTCCCGTGCACCACCTACAGTGTCTGGTCTTACCCTCCGCCAGACTTTTGTGGGGGTCAAGATCCCACTTCTCGTCCGTGTCCAGCGTTTGGAAGAGAAACAGGTTCGTGAGCCCTCCCCTTTACGCGCTATTGTGCTATTGCGCTTAAGGTGACAGCTGCCAGATAGCACCGACCTAGAATATAGCAACATATATAGAATTAAAACACCAATTCACGGGGCATCATGTGCCCGACTCATGCCTCTCGGGGGAGGTCAACAGTAGAAACAGTGGTTAAGCAGGTAACAATGTGATATTCTAACATGCCAGTATTCTAGCCTTGCAGTGAATCAATCCCATGGGATGGGGCTTTCTGGCCCGAGGTCAGAGTAGGGAC